CCCCCCGCAGTTTTGTTCAATAAACCCAGTTTCTATTTTTGAACATATGTGCCTTTTATTTGACATCAGGAAGGGGAGCTAAGGAGGGGTAAGTGGAAGGATATAAGGGAGGAATGGGGCACGAGCCCCCAGTGGGGAGGACCAGGGTGGCTCTGAGGGCTCCTCTGGGTGGACGCTCTCCTGCAGGGCCTCCTCGATCCTGACAGCCTCCCGATGGACCCCCTGGATGGCAGCCTGCAGCAAGTGCAGCCGGGCTGATGGCAACAACTCTGCAAGATGCGCCGGCATGCCCAGGGCCAGCTCTGGCTTCATGTGGCTGAGTGCTGTGGTGTTCCGAGTGCGGGCACTTAGGGCACTCCAAGACAGGACTGCTTTGCTGTTCCTCAGTGAGGTAGACAAGCAAGTGGGGAACCCTGAGAATTGTCTGTCCAGGTGGGGGTAGGGTCCCTTTAAGCACGGAGCTCAGTTAGCCTCAGGCGCAGCCCCACACACTAAGTCCTAACCAGATGCCCTGCTGGCCCTGGTTCCAGCCAGCCTTATCTTCGGTTCAGGGTCCACTCAGTGTGGACGCGCTATTTCGAAATAGTTTTTGTGTGTAGGGGCGTTAATTCGAATTAGCTTAATTCGAATTAACTATTTTGAATTAAGTTAACTCGAATTAACGCTGTAGTGTAGACATACCCTAAGGGTACATCTACACAGCAGAGCTTAACACGAAATAAGCTAGGCAAACTGAGCTACATCAATTGCATAGTTTATTTTGAAATAGCTTATTTTTAATTTGGGAGCACCTACACCGCACTTATTTTGAAACAGAGGACTCTTTCTTCAACTTCCCTTACTCCTCATACAATGAGAGTTACAGGAGTCGGAGTAATATGTCCTCCAGCTTGACAGTATTCTGACATTATTTTGAAATACTACTAGTTATTTCGAAATAATATTGCTGTGTAGACGTACCCTAATAGAGGGATCACAAGTTAAATTAGTCAAACACTGCAGAATCAGAGGTACAGGCAGTCCCCGAGTTACGCGGATACGACTTATGTCAGATCCGCAGTTACGAATGGGGCTTTTCTCGCCCCGGAGGATGCGAGCGGCAGGACTCCCAGATGCGCCGCGGTCCCACCACCCGCGTCCTCCGGGGCGAGAAAAGCTGCTCCACGTCTCCCTGGTCTGCTG